CACATTGCATGATCAAATTCATAATTTTGAGTTCAAACCCCAGTTTCAACATTAGGTCCCTCAAGAAATCCCATTCAATTCGATTATAGGATTTACTCATATCCAACTTCAATTTCATTTGGTACTTCTTGGTTTTTCTCCTTAGTCTCATGGAATACATTACTTATTGAACAATGATGATATTATCGTGGATTTGCCTCACTCCAATAAATCGCTTTGCTTTGTGAGACTATTCTATCCATGAAAGGCTTCAGTCTAGATGCTAGAAGCGTTGAAATGATTTTTTAGATATAATTGCAACATCTTATATGTCTAAACTTACCAATATGTTCAAGATTTTGAACCTTCGGGATAAGGGCAATGTTGGTTTCATATAATTCTTTCAACAGGAATCCTGAATGAAAAAAGAATTGGATAGCAAATAATTCCTCCCTCTTCATTGTGTTCCAATACCTTTGATAGAAGAGTCCAGGTAGACCATCAAGTCCAGATGATTTGAGAGCCCCCATGTTGAAGACTACATTTCTAACTTCTTCTGTGAATATTGGTCTAAGAAGACAGACATTCATCTTTGCTGTTATTACTTGAGGGACTTCTTGTAGAATCTGTCCATATTGTCGTTCTCCTTCTGAGAAGAAAAGCCAAGTCTTTGGCATCGATTTTGTGTTAGCTGGAGTATTTGCCCTTTTTCTATCACCCATTTATCTACTATGTTTCGAAGCATAACTAGCCTCTTTCTTTGCCTTCTTTGGATAGTGGATGCATGGAAAAAAGTAGCATTTCTGTCACCTAATTTCATCCATTTTAATCTAGATCTTTGGCCCTAGAATTTTTGTTCCATCTACCACAACTTTGTGATTTTTGCTTTAATTATAGTGGTTGTTTCATTTGTTCCATCTATTACTTTATCATTTTTGATGTCAATTAGTTTACCTTTTAGGTTTTCAATCTGTTCTTTACTTCTATGGAAGTAAGTTGAGCTCCACCTTCTCAAATATTTGCCACAATTTTTGAGCTTTTGCTTTAATTGGAACATTCTTGAACCTTGCACTGTATTCGTCCAACTCTGCTTGATTGTTTCAAAGCATTGTTCCTCATTTGTCAAGTTTGCTTCAAATCGGAAATATCTCTTTGGCCTTCTCCAATTGAGTGATGTCATGACACAATCTATTCACTCCTTGATATTAGCAACCCCCGCCTATGGTTGTCCCATATATACTGACACCTTTTACTTTTCGGATCAATCAAATTGCTTTATTTAAAAAAGCTCGAAATGGTCTTATTTTGCAGTTTGCTTTGTCCTTACATCCTTTATTCTCCATATTGGATACAGTATCGTTAAAATGCCTTAGGCATAAAGGTAAATCCAAGCACCTGCCATATGCACTGAGTTTGGGTTGATCTATCATACTTCATTTATTTGAGTTGTTGGCTTAACAAATACAGGAATGAAAGTGATGACGCTACTACTCCTTTCTTTGCGGCTCATTCGAAGCATTCTTTTTGGCACTGCCATGGAAGTGATGAACTGCTACCTTGGCTGAGGTTGTACTTATCTGATTGTCTGATTTAACTACTCTTTGAATGCTATTTTGATGTCGCCCTTCCTTCTCCTCTCCAGAAATTCAGAATTGTTGATGTGGCATCAACCAGAATCATTGATGTGCATCTAACCGAAAGCGATCATGCTCAACCTTCTCGATTATAGAGGACATAAAGGTCCTTTAGTGTTAGAACTGTCAAGGGTGATTCCAACCCTTGATAGTTCCAAGCTATGAATTTTATGAGGATTTGGGGGGGGGGCATAATAAGGCCCGTCTCCTCAGCCATGATGCACATTTTCGAGTTTCATTCCACACTAACTTCATACAATTGATGGAGACCATTTTCACTTACCTGTTTGATTGTTCCCTTTTCTCTGATCTTGCATAATGTTCTGCGCATAGTTCTGAACTAATTTTGTCCCATTACCTCTATCTTCTCAAAGCTGTTTAGCTTGTTTTTTGAATTCTCACTTAAGGAGATTAATGGTTCTTTCCCTCATTCACTTCCTTTGAAGGGTCATCATTCAATTTAGGGGTGTGACAATTTTTCAGACTATCTAGTGCAATCTTTGTCTTTCCATTCTGTAGTCTTTGCACCTTAAGGTAGGGGTGCAACTTGGGCGGGTTAACCCGATTTTAACCTAAGCCCAAGCTGAAAAAATTAGGATTTGGACTAGGTTTTTTAATACTTGGGTTGAATTTGGGTCAAAAAATCTCAACTCGAATTCAATTTGGATGGGTCTCAGGTTGATCACTCGGGCTACCGAGTTGAACCCGAATATTATAATCGGGTTCAAATCGGTTTAATATTCGGGTTCAACCCTAATATTCATAACTATATAAATACATTTTTAAATCTAGGGTTAATTTGCTCTAAAGTCTTCATTGTGGGCCTCCCTCACTCACCATTTAAGCAGTAAACTCTATGTTTGTATAAGGATTCTGGTTGTGTTTATTTGTGTTTTGTATGGTTGTGGTTGCATTATCTCGAACATTGAGTTCTTAATATTATTGTTTTTATGTTAAAAACTTGATTGAAATTGCTGGTTGTTAATTTAGGTGAATATTATGTAATATATGTATCATGTTTAGAACAACAAGTCTATTTTTTGCTTAACCCGAATTCAACCCGTAAAGTAGTCCTTAACCCGAATTCAACCCGAGCCCGCTCGAATTAAACTCGAGCAGTGCTCGGGTTGAGTCCCTCAACTTGAGGTAGGGTTAATGTTAGGCTTAAAGATTTTATACCTAGGATTGAGTTAGGGTTGACTGTTTGACCCGTCCAACTGCTTGAATTGCACCCCTACTTTGGGGGATCGTGGAATTGAATTATCTTTCATGAAATATCGTTTTAGAGATAACTTTCCAAAGACGTGGGACATGCAAATGTGTATTATACTACTAGGATTAGAGGTGGGAGTAGAGTTGATTTTTTCCCCAAGTGCATGGTAAGAGTTTTCATATGGTGGTTGCACATGGAGGTCTCTGTGATTGGATGGTGTTCGTAGTGTGATTGGATTTTCAGATTCTTTGGTTTGGGTTTGGTGGGTTTCATCCATGGATGGGCAATAGGGTGGGTCTTGTGTTTGGGTTGAGGGTTTTGAGATTTGATCTGGTGTTGGAGATTGAGCTTGCTTATGAGATAGGTCATTTTTTACAGGGTCTGGGCCTTTTTGGTTGAGTTGGGTTTCGGGTTGTTTAGGGTTGATGCCATAGGGGTGGAAAGGGTAATTTTTGCAAGAAAGAGGGGTTAAGTATAAGGGTGGTCCATGGATGGTATTTTTGTGCGAAGATGAGGGTCCTTACAAGTCTGATCGTCTTCCCGAATCCATTCTATTATTGGTTCCCCCTATTTGGGATTGCCACGTAGACCACTATTAGTTGGATCTACTACTTGTCGATCGGGTTGATTTTACTGGGATTTAGATGGATTTGCCCATAAATTTCTTCGAATTTGCTCTATGTATCATGGTCTTCTCACTTATTTTCACCTTGAATTTGTAGATTACACTGAGAAATTCAACTTTGAGAAATAATCATACACTTTCTCTCTACCGAGTCCGGCTCCTATACCGTATTACGTGGAGTATTTTGTACTGCTTCACTTGGATAAATTGACGATGAAGAAGAAGCGGGAGAAAAAGCTGAGAAATTCACTTGGTGGAAGCTACAGTCGATGAAGAAGAGGCCTTGCATTTGGTTTGGATATATGGAAGGAGTTAAACGGTGCCGTTTGTATGGACTGGTTTACAAAAAAAATAAATGATGCAAAATGGCTTCATTTTATTAAACTGTATGCCATATAGTTAGTTGTCAACTGTAGAGGAGCTAGACACGGGTATTACTCTGTTCAAATTAAGGCAATTCAAGGTTTGGGTCCTGACAAAAAAAAAAAATAATAATAAAAAAAAAGTTTTGTGCCAGGACCATGGTCAGAAACACTTGGTTGTGGTTTTGTACATTCTAGTCCAGAATAGTTATTTAATTTATTCTAAAATTTCAAAAAATAAAAAATAAAAAATAAAAAAATTTGATCCAATGGTTATGTTTGGATCATGGCTTGAAGATCGAGCCAAGCAAATTTTAACTGTCTGGCTAGGCCCGACCTAGAACCTACCTTACGTAATCCCAGCCAATGTGGCCTTTAGTCAATGCGATCTCTTGAGATTTATAAATACTGTGTTGCCTTGAAAACAATTTGGAGCAACACACATCTGATACGTTACAAAACACATGTCCTTAGAGTCTTAAAAAGTTTAGTACTTACATTCTAAGTCTTAACAAATCATGAGGTTGTACTAGGACGTGAGTATTTTTTTTAAAATTTATTTGATTTTAAGTATCACTTTTAAACTTATCTTTTTTTAAGTCCTATTTTTTATTAAATAGTTGTCAATAAGTACACATTTCAAAATATTTTTAATTTTTTTAAAAAAATATATTTCATAATTACCTCTATCATAAATAGGGCATACCTAATTGACAACTTTTATATTTCTAATATCTAAATATTAGAATGTGAGACTTTCAAAATTCATTTTGATATTTGTGTATCATTTGAATTTTGAAATTATATATATATCAAACAGTAACACGTTCAACAAAAAAATAATAACATTAAACAGTAACATCAAAGATTAAATATTTAAAAATATATATATATATATATATATATATATATATATATATATATATATATATATATATAACATCAAAAATAAAAACAAAAATATGTTTGTGTACTGTTTTTGTTTTATATTAGTTGTCTTAAAAAAAATGAGAACAAAGCCAAGAAAATGAAAACAAAAAATTGTGTTTCAGAAAACACTCAAAACACAGAACACGTGTTTTACATTTTAATGAGTTCTCAACTTCAACTCTCGTTAGCTACAAAATATCACATCATTTGACGAACTATAAATACGGGGAGTATATGATCTTTTTTAATTTTCGTTCTCCCTTCTCTCTCTTTGGACGACTCTCTTCTCCTCTCTCTCTCAACGACGCTCTCTTCTCCTCTCTCTCTTAGCGACCCTCTTCTCCTCTCTCTTAGCGACCTTCTTCTCCTCCACGATGGCGTGAGCTCAGCAGTTGGGACGACGAAGAGGCTTTCAATCACAGATCTCCTGACGATCCTCCATCTGCTGGTCCTGTGTGTGTCCTCCATCGATTTGAGACCAGTTTGGTGAAAGGTAAGTGTATCCATTCAAATATATGCTAGATCCATTCAAATATATGCCAGATCTGTGAATGTAAGGTAACATAGATGTATATATATATATGTGTGTGTGTTTACACAAGGCCAAATCTGTGATGGTTGTATCTGTGTGTGATGGACCCCCTTATTTTTTTTCGTTTTCCCCTAAAATTTTTGTGTGCAGATCTGTGATGGACCCCCCCCCCCCCCCTTTTTTTTTTTTTCTCATTTTCCCCTAAAATTTGCGTGGTGAATTGCAGCTTGTTTAATCCCACCCCTTCTCTGTCTGCTATGGTTGTTAATCATTACAAACTTCGGGGCATATTGTTAGTTATAGCCTAGGTGGGATGGGTTGTAGTGCTGGTTTGATCTCAATGGATCTTGCTAAAGATCTTCTTCAAGTCCATCCCAATTCGTATGCTTTAGTAATTAGCATGGAAAACATCACTTTGAATTGGTATTTTGGGAATGATAGATCGATGCTTGTTTCAAATTGCTTATTCCGGATGGGAGGGGCTGCAATTTTGCTTTCGAACAAGAGGTCTGATCGACGACGATCCAAGTATCAGTTGGTCCACACTGTCAGAACCAATAAAGGTTCGAACAATAAATGTTTTTCCTATGTTACCCAAATGGAGGATTCCACTGGCAAGGTTGGAGTTTCTTTGTCGAAGGATGTGATGGCTGTTGCTGGGGATGCTTTGAAGACCAATATCACTACATTGGGCCCTCTTGTGCAGCCAATGTCTGAGCAGTTGCTCTTCTTTACTACATTGGTTGGGAAAAAACTGTTCAAGATGAAGATAAAGCCTTATATCCCAGATTTCAAACTGGCGTTTGAGCATTTTTGCATTCATGCTGGAGGAAGAGCTGTGTTGGCTGAATTGCAGAAAAACTTGCAGCTCTCGGATTGGCATATGGAGCCTTCAAGGATGACACTCTACTGATTTGGCAACACTTCAAGCAGCTCTCTTTGGTATGAATTGGCATATGCAGAAGCCAAGGGAAGGATTAAGAGGGGAGACAGAACATGGCAAATAGCATTTGGGTCTGGGTTCAAGTGCAACAGTGCAGTTTGGAAGGCTTTGAGGACTTTAACCACCAAGTTCGGGATGGATTGGTGTGGTTTCTCTGTGCCTAGGACACCAGAATATTGAACCATGAACGAAGAAAGGCATGAGAGAAAAGCATATTGGCTAGTGATTGTGATGCCCCAATTCTTGACTGGAGGGGACACCAAAGGCCTCTGCCCTTCCATCCCTTGGATAGATAGAAGCGGAAGAACTGCGTGAAACCCTCGCAAGGGTTAAATCCTGCAAAGGAGAAGAACCCATGGATGAATGAGATTGATCAGTTCCCAGTGGAAGTTCCGAAGGTCTCGGTCATTTGAAATTCAAGAAAAGTTGCCTACTTAATACCAGCTGCATTTTGTTCATGGCTGCCTGGGACTTAGTAGTGACATATTTTATATGTTACGAGTCTATTTTAATTTGGACCATTGCAAATACCCTCAAGAACAATGGAGTCAAACTCAATCTTGATGACGATGACAATGTTACTTCTCGTCCAACCTATCAATGAATGTTTTTTTGCCCCTCCCTTTGCCAACCAAAAGAAGGAAATTGTAGCATGATTTCTTCCCCCAAAGTTGAAGATAGTTTGTAATAATCATCAGAAACTCATGTGAAAGACTTATACATGATAAGAAATTGAAATCCAGTGGTACTGTTTCTTAGTAATAAGAGTAGAAGGCAACAGTTTGGGAACTTTCAACTATATTATTCTGATTTATTGCTATGAGTGTGGCTTATTATCCTGCGCTTTAAAACGACGACAATGGATTTATCTACATTCTGCATAAAAATTCCAAATGTTTATCCTTTTTCTAATTCCCTTTAACCAGCTAACGAGTAGATCGAATAATAAATAAATGATGTGTCGTATTGAAAGTCATCCACAAATGATTTTTTTTTTTGTTAAGCAATGACCCTTGAAGATGAGAATCAACTTATATTTAGTATAAAACTTGAAGTAGTTAACAAATATGTTTTTTGTTTTTATTCTCATAGACAAAAATGACTTTCAAACATGTTTTCTGTTTCAGTGTTTACAACAAAACAAAGACAAGTTTTTGTCTCTGTTTTTATTTTTTCGAAGACGCGAAAATAAAAACGTTACCAAACGACCCCTGAATATTTAATTAAGTTTTTTATTGAGTATGTTACTGTTTGATGTTACTATTTTTTTGTTGAGTGTTACTTTTTGATATTACTATTTTTTTGTTGAACGTGTTACTGTTTAATGTGTGTGTTTATATATATATATATATATATATATATATATATATATATATATATATATGAAATTTCAAAATTTAAATGATACACAAATATTAAAAAAAATCTTGAAAATCTCACATTCTAATTTTAAAAGTCTCACATTTAATTAGGTATGCACTATTTATGGTAGGAGTAAAAGGGCTTACTTCTATCACAATTATTTTAAAAAATGTATTTTTATCCAACTAAGTTTTTAAGGAGATATCGGCCTAAGCCCCTTTTCCAAATTAACCGTTTCGCTTTTCTGGGTTAGGGAATCTGACCCGTAAATTAGCCAGGGCACCATTTAACTCCCTGACCCAGCTCATACCAGCCATACCTAATTCCAGCCCATGGCCCAGCCTGTTGCAAAAAGCCCACCCTCTTATACTTTTCCCTGGCCTGAAAAAATCTTTGATGCGCAACCAATTCAACGTCCATTCAAGAGTAACCACAAACCACCCATCCCCATAAAATCTGCGTCCTCTTCTCTTTCTCTCTCTCTCACTCTCACCCACCTACACACACACCGCGCTGTCTGTTTCTGTAACACAAACCCATAACAAAGAAAGAAAGAAAGAGAAACCACAAGTATTCTCTTTCAGTTCTTACAAATATTCCATTGTTGCGTTTTAGTATCATGGCTTGTGCATTATCAGCAAGTAGCTGCACAATTACTACCTCCCCGAGTAGCAGACTCTTCTTCAACCAGTTTCAAAAGGACCCAAAGAAGAAGCAAAGCCTTCATCTCTTTAGAGTCCGAGCTTCTTCGGACGATTCTGACTGCAATGACGAAGAGTGCGCCCCCGAGAAGGAGGTCATTCTTTTTCCTCAATTTCTCACAGTTTTTATTCCATGTGTTGATCAATTTGTTTATACATGTATTGTGTAATTGATCAATTATGTGTACAATTATGGGTATTTTACTATTTATTTGTCTGATTGTTGCAAACACCGAAACGGTTTCGTTTTTAAGGTACACCGAAACAAATCAGTAATTGAATCCAAAATTTCAATACCCGAGGTGTATGAAATTTCGATGGATTTTAAAATGTTTCGAATTATTTCAAAATGTTTGGCATCTTTCCACAAATATTTCGGAATGTTTCAAAGTGTTTTGAGTTGTTTAAATATATTTAGACCAATGCTTTGGAATGTTGCCAAAATAAGTTTTCAAAATTGTATTCGATTTCATTATTTTTGAAACGTTTCCAAAATATTTTTGAGGTGACCGAAATAATGAGCTGAAACAATATTTTGATCCTTGGATTGTTGGAAATAGGTGTTAAAAATTTTCAACATTTTCCAAGTGTTATTGGAAACCCAAGAAAACAACGAAAAGGGGTCTTGAGATTTTTCAATTTCTTCAATTGGTCTCAGATTTTCATGTTTCTCGTGATAAGCTTGAGAATTTCTGTATTATACTCCCTAAAACATTTTTGAACTTCACTGGAAAGATCCCAGAAAAATGAATACATATTCTGCATAACGTGGAGCTACCTCAGGTTATATTAAATCACTAGGACCTCTAGGCTGTTGTTTTGGTGAACCTCAGGTTCTGTGTGGCAGGTATGCTTATTCTTCAGATGCCCCTCTCCTGTGTATTGGTTCATTCAATCGTGTGTGGAAGAGCACCTGGATTTGTTTGCTCATGAATTTGTGGGTTTTGTGCATTTCATCACAGTTATCTATTAACTATGAGCATTTGATTCTTGGTTTATGCAGAAAGCCATGAGCAAGAATGGATAACTAGTTATATTCCGAAAAAATGAAATATAATGCTTGCTAATGGTGAAAACAGGTTGGGACTGTGAGCATGGAATGGCTAGCTGGGGAGAAGACAAAAGTGCTTGGGACATTCCCACCTCGTAAACAACGTTGGACTGGCTATGTTGAAAAGGACACTGCTGGTCAGACGAACATATACTCTATTGAGGTGAGTGATTCAAAATTTGAAAAATGGAAATTTGGGTTTGATTTGCTTGAAAACTGGGAGCATCCAGATATAGATTGAACAATGACATGTAATAGTAAATTGCTATAAAATTGCTTTGAGTTCTGAGTTTTAGAGTAGAAGTCTAAGGCTAAAACCGTGTGGTTGCAATTTCTAGTATAAAAAAAGCCAACTGTATAATTAGTGTCAAAATGTGATGTTTATACTGAATCATCCTTCCCAGCACTGGCGATTAATGCGGACACGAGGGCAATGACTTCTTAGTATTTTTTGAGTCATGCCGATAATTTAAAAAATACAAATGCACAAATACAAACTATTGCAGTCTATCATGCTAATATTGTGTCTTGATTCCCTATTCCTTCGTAACCTAAACTTTTGGAGGTAAAATTATTTGTGGATTCTAGAGTACATTGAGGTCCACATTCTCTAAGCAAAGAAATCATCGCATAATCACTTGGTACCTCTGAAAAACTGTGAAGAACTACATTTGTAGGTGCGGTCCCCCAAAAGAACTTAATTTCTATATGCATGGAGTTCTTCCATATCCCAGTGGAGTTACTTGTAAGAAGGTTTTCACATTTGGACTTGAACCTGTTATTCTTGAACTCATTCATTCAGACATTTTTATTTATATTACCAGATCAGTGAGCTCTTATCTTTACTTTTGACTTCTTTGAGTGCTATGCCATTTTAGAGAATTTTCTGTTTACACTGAACTCCTTCAATTTCTTGTGAGCATAGCCACACTAGTTAGCATGATAAGTGACTGATGATGTTAAGCTTCTACTCAGGCAAAGCAAAGGAGTGATTTTCGAATCTTTTGTCTCTGGAGAATTTTTATCATCTTCTGTTCCTTTATCCTTCTCTTCTTTTTCTAATGTCATTATTTTGGTGCTTAGGCTAGAAAATTTTTCGTCCTGGGTTGCATTTCCGTAAGTGATACAGTTCTAGGCAGAAAGGATATTGTTTCTGTCTGATCGGGATACTGAGTCCAAATCCAGCATATGAACTCTTAATATTACATTAGAGAAGTGGCATACTATATGTTTGGATGTGAGCCTCTAAAGGGATTAAAACCCGAGAATGAGGATGTAAAAATATTTTTCGATGTGAGCCAGGACTGATAGTTTCCCTCAGATGGTATTATCTCCAGTTCCATGAGCAAACATGAGGAATTTTAATATCCCAGCGATTGTTACCCTTCAGATAACATTTCCAGGTCCAATTTGACCAACAATTGAATTCCCTATGTGCCTGGTCATAAGAGCTCTGCTCCACACAACCAGATCTTGTATAGGACACCAACCTCCTTTTTGGGCTTGTGTACTCCCTCCCAATCTACTTTAGCTCAGTGGACTTTCTGATTCGTACTGCTCCGTCAAAAGATCTCAGAATTTGGTCCACCCTTTCAAGGACTTTCTTCAGAAGATTGAAGAGACCAGTAGATTTGCACCCTACGAAGAACAGATTCTACTAACTTCCGCCTGCCTGCTGTGATAGGACTTTGTTGAGCGAATTTTCCACCATTGATATTCAGAGCCTTGCAGTCTTATATGTCCAGAGCATCCAATTTACCAATGGAGCCACCATTCATATTTCTCTCTCTTTTTATGTTTGTATTTTTTCCTATCCATTTTCTTATTCTTAATATTGAATTCTCTTTGTACCACATTTTCTTTGCATTGGGAAAACGAAGTTGATCAGGTGATTGCATTCATCAAAATTGGATAGACTTTGGCCTTTACAGGATAGTCTGGGCTCAACTAGAAATAGAAACCACTTCGAAATCATAAGGTCACGAGTGTCTCATAGATTAGAGGATTTTTCCGTTTTATGATCAAATTCAGGATGATTAGTTATACTGGCTGCATAAGTCCCTATCCGGCCAAGAAAAAGAATAAAAAATAACGAGAATTAATTCATTTGGTATGTTTTCTGGTGCTTTACATGTGCTCCATTCTTACAGCTCTTTAGAACGGTTGCAATGTGTATCATGATTACTTAGCTTAGTTGGGCATATCCTTAATTCTGTCAAGACTCTTTCAACCAAGAGGTAAAAGGGTTTCTCATGCCTGCCTTTTTAGGTGTATAGCTTAGTTGGGTATATCCTTAATTCTGTCAAGATTCTTTCAACCAAGAGGTTCTTTTGGGGGCTGCTATTGTGCCTCTTTTACGGGCTCCTCTATCGTAGTCTTCACCTCTGTATGGATAAAATACTTGATTGTTTATTGTAATAGTGATCTATGTACATTCAAAAAGGTCTTGCTATTGAACTATACAGCCTGCATCTAATATCTGTTGGCTTTTGTAGCCTGCAGTTTATGTGGCAGAAAGTGTAGTCAGTTCAGGAACAGCAGGTTCTTCTGCTGATGGATCAGAGAACACAGTAGCAATTTTTGGTGGCCTCGCGCTAATATCTGTTGCTGCTGCCTCATTGGTACTGGTTCAAATTGGGAAGAACCCTCCTCAGATGCAGACGATGGAATACTCCGGGCCATCCCTCAGCTACTATATTAACAAGTTCAAGCCACCAGAGATCATCCAAGCTTCAGTGCCAACTGAAGCTGAAACCTCAACATCCATAGACTCAGAAATCTCTGCCCCAGAGGTAACTCAAGTTGAGGTTGAATCAGAGTATCAGCCAGAGGCTCCAACTTCAAGTTCTAACAACTCTTAGGCATTTGAAGTTGGCTGATTTTCTGGAATAGTGTATATTCAGTTTTGAGAATTTCTTTCATACAATTGATTATATATGGTGTTCAATGCAGCTTTGGACTATTGGTTTAGTTTGTATTTTTGTTTTCGTGGCAAGTTTATTTATCATACCGAGGATCTGCAGCCTGCCGTTGGACCGGTAGGTCGTGGGTTCGAACTTTACCAACTCATTTCCTCTAAACTTTGAAATAGTGACAAAAAAATAATAATTTATTTATCATACTAAAGTCTCTTTCTTGGAGGGCGGACCTTAATGTAGCGGTAAGATTACTTTATTACGACATGAACAACATGGGTTCAAGTCATGAAAAGGACTTCTTTGTGGGTTAATAGTGTGTATATCGAACCACTCTCATCTCGTAGTGGTAGGATTCTCGTGTATCGGTTTTCCTTTAATATTCACTTGTAAGTATCTATTAATATATTTATCTAGGAGTTTGTTATGTCTGGGGTGATATGTGTATTCTGTTTGATAACATTTTCTTAAAGTATGTTTACTTAAGCAAAAATTATTTTGCAAGTGTGTTTTATATGAATCTGGTATATGAATAAAAAAGTGATATATATCTGTGATTAAATTGGAAGGAAGTGATATATATTTTTATTTTAAACTACATAAAAAATTCAAATGCATAAAAACATTATTAAATAATGCTTTTTTAAGGGTAATTTATTTATTTATTTATTTTTCTACTCATTTTCCAAATTTCATCACTTGTATAGGAGAATGTATAAGAACATATAGAAGTGCATTTTTTTTGGGAAGACAGAGTTATGTATCAATTGTTCTATATAGCCATGAAATATAATTATATTTTTTTTTACAAAAATTACTTTTATTTTAAAAAATAATACTTAAACATGTTATTAATATCAAACGATTGTCTGGTTTGACAAAAGCAAGCATTAGTAAGTACATATCTTGGGTGTTATCACACCAATATTAATGCATTGGATCCCATCGAATTCTATAATTAAGTGTGTTTGGGTGAGAGTCGTATTAGAATAAATGATCTCTTGGAAAGTTATCGTGTTGCACCTTATTATTGTTATTATTATTATTTTTAATAAAAAAAGTATAGCTTTCACTCTGATTGCTTGACGTTGTGATGAAAAGAAAGTATGGTGGGAATGGAAAGTGGTTTGCAAATCTAGTGATTAAAAGAGGTGAAAGTCTATGGTACTGAAAGATGCATCGATATGGTGTCAACAAGTTATTGGCAGAGGATAAGAATTTAGATTTTCGCCCTTAATGCTTGAGTCCGAGTCTCTATAGTTACGGCAGTTCGTTAATGATAAATTTATTCTTCAGCGCTTAGAGCATAAGGTGGAACCTTAGCTTCGACTTCAACGTAAGCGTGGTAGGGTCTCATGTAAATAGCTGTGTGGTGCTGAAGAGCAATACTCTATAGCAAATATGTAGAGTGATCTATATGTATATTCATTTTTTGCACAAAAAAAAAAAGATGTATCGTACAAAAATTTTAATTTTATACGGTCAAGTTATACTTTTTTAGAGCGTAAGTTATAACTAGAAAATGACATGATCATTACAAAATGTTTTGATCGATAATAGAAATTACCACTTTTAAATGTTAAGTTATACGTTTTTATTTACTGGGTTATTCCATCATCAACGACAAAATTTTATTGTCGATAACAAATAACTTCAATCATCTATAACTTCATTTTGAAAAGGTATAATTTGGATAAAATTGTGGTGTCCAAATTTATTTATTAAATTTTTTATCCCAAATAATGTGTCAAAATTCTTTTCATTGAATATTTGGTGGAGTTAGTAGATTTCACTGATCCAACCACCTACGCTTATTTGGGATACAAAATTTAATAAATAATTTGATCAGTATAATATTGCTCGTATATTTTTATTATTAATATAGTAATTTTTGATACTATACCAAAAAGTAATATCCCTATTAAATTAAAAGAAAGTATAGTCAAGCAGACTCCATATCCAGCATTTTGGATGTAAGTACCCATCAACCATGCTATAGTTTTTTATTCTTTGACTAAAAGGAAGCAGCCACCATGCTTCCATGAAAAACCTCAACTATGAGACTACAACTACCATCAGAACTGCACAAATATACTTTTTATTATTTTTCTTGGGGCGGGGAGGGGGGAAGGGGCGAACTCCACAAATATTAAATTAAACATCATGTTACGTCTAAAGTTTCTTTTTTGACTAGAATACTTTTATTTTGAATCTAATAGCCTTTCATTCATAAACTTTCTCTTTCACACTTGTCTTTTTTTTGAAAATTTGAGAGAGAATAATAATGAAAAGGGGGAGAAATTGCCGTGGTAAGGACAATATATAAGAATAATGTCGTTCTTCTATCTAAACCATGAAATTTATGCGACACCCAACGTAAGTGATGAGGCAACGATGAACTCGGATCGATTCATATCGAATGATGTGACAAAAGGCGGGTGATAGAAATAAATTTCATTAAAAATGAAAATGTGAAGAAGGTGTTATAGCAAAGGAGCATAGACCCCACTCCAAGTTGCAGTGGGTGAACTATTCATCAAGTGAAGTCTCAATGGAAATTTCTTGGAGATGGCTTTGAAAAAGCAACACTGTTTCCACTTTTCAAAGGGCAAAATGACCTTGAAACTTCCTCTTCATTACCAAACCTGTCCCTTCTTACACCTCTATAAAAAGCTAGCAAATTGCCCATACAATGCACAATACCTGAACCCAATTACCCAGTTGGTGAGGCTGAAAGTTCTATTTCTATACCTCAATCAATACAATGGTTGTTTATGAGAAGAAGGTCATTGAAGAGGTGTCTGGTTGGCTTAGGGTCTTCAACGATGGCTCAGTTGACCGGACCTGGACCGGACCACCTGAGGTCAAGTTTATGGCTGACCCAGTGCCTCCCCACCATGATTTCAAGGATGGAGTTGCCACTCGTGATGTACTCGTCGATGTTGACTCGGGTCTCCGTGTTCGTGTTTATTTACCTAATAATCTTTCGTATTTGTCGCCTCTTTCTGACATGCATAAGCTACCCATCATTCTTCATTTTCATGGAGGTGGCTTTTGCATCAGTAAACCTGATTGGTACATGTACTATGATGTATACACTCGTCTCGCGCGTTCGGTCCAAGCCATTGTCGTCTCCGTTTACCTCCGTCTCGCCCCCGAGCACCGCCTCCCGGCTGCCTGTGAGGACGGTTACGCTGCCCTCCTTTGGCTTCAGTCCCTGGCTCAAGGTAATTCCTATGACCCATGGCTGAATGATCACGGTGACTTTAACCGTGTGTTCCTAATCGGAGATAGCTCCGGCGGTAACATAGTGCACGACGTTGCCGCACATGCCGGAAATGAAGACCTGAGCCCGTTGAGACTCGCCGGAGCAATCCCAATCCACCCGGGTTTCGTCCGTTCAGAACGGAGCAAATCGGAGATGGAACAATCTGAATCACCATTCTTAACACGAGACATGGTGGACAAGTTCTTGAACTTGGCATTGCCAGTGGGAAGTACAAAAGATCATCGTATAACGTGTCCGATGGGGAAAGCAGCGCCGCCAATCCACGGCCTGAAACTGCCGCCGATGCTGTTCTGCGTCGCCGGAAATGACCTGCTGCAAGACACTGAAATGGAATACTATGAAGCCTTGAAAAAGGGTAACAAGGATGTGGAGTTACTGATCAGCCATGGAATGGGTCACAGCTTCTATCTCAACAAAATTGCTGTGGACATGGACCCATTCACTGCTGCTGAAACTGGAAAGTTGATTGATGGAATCAAACAATTCATCAAGAAACATTAAGATGATTACCAGTCTAATTCTTGTTACAGCTTTACGGTGATTTTTTTATATGATTTATGACGGTTTCGTTATCTTTATATCTAAATGTTGCAGATTCATATTTATTTATAAAATTAAATTATCGTTTTTTCAATGAAAGCGTGTTTATTTTCAATAGTCTAATCTCCGCATTAAGGCAGTGCAAATTAATGGTTGTCAAAGCTATGACAAGGAGGAAGTTAGAAAATTTAAAGCTAGGCCAATAAGAATGTATATTTAATTTTCGGGATAGCGTAGGTAAACTCACATAAGGGTCTAAGACTCATCGCATCGATTCACACGAGGGTCTAAGACTCGTTGCATCGATTCATCCTATTACGTTTGTAGCGGTTTACTTATAATTTTTAAAGGACTTTGGGGGATCAAGTCAAAATATTTATGGAGTCAGTCCTCTTGTACATATGAACCACACAAGACATTTCATACTCCTTTTTTAATTTCACTGGGTCCCTCTAACATTGGGAATGGATTGTGAATGCTTTTCAAATAAGGTTGTTTGGACTGAAGTTACCAGTTGAACCAAATGAGAAACACAAACACAAAAAGGCAATGAAAACAAGACTGCATGGTATTACTCGTTTGCATAGATTTTCTCTAAAAAAAATTTCTAGTAGAATTATGCTCTTTTGACACTACATGTAAAAAAAACTACAAAAAGTTGGTAGAGGATTTCATCAATATACAACTAGTCCCACATAATTCACGGTATATGATTTGTTAAGAGAAAAAATAAATAAAAAAAGACATGTTACGTGGGATCTCACCCCAGTGTCAAGAAGTCTAGGACTTTGAACTATATGGAGACCAAGGGGATCACGTCCCCTCATATTTTCAAAATTACCTATGATCTCGAGTATTTGAAAATCTTATGTTTTTTTTTAAATTTTTTTAAAAATGCTTATCTACAGTAAACATTTTTTTAGTATATTCAAGGACATTAATGATGTAACTTTAATAACCGAAAGATATACGAATACTTAGATGAGTTTGATGACCAAAAGAAAAAAAAAGAAAAAGAAAAAGAAAAGTATTCCAAAATTAAATTAGAAATGTGACTAACATAACTAATAATATTGTACACGATGATTTTGGCACAATGAATGAATTGACAGGTCTATCTCTTAATGAAATCGAGTTTACCTGAAAAGTCGGAAGATCCGCAACAAATGGGTGTTCAGAAATGGTGATGAGACTCCCAGCAAGCTATCTGGTCACCTTGGGTTATCAAATTGAGTCATGTCACTTAAAAAGAAGGGTTAAAAAGGCGTCAGAGTGTTTTTCGGCGTAACTCTTTCGACGATCAAGTCAGTATGTAAGAGAGAGTTGAAAAAAAACTGTTCTATTACTTAGGTGAAATTTTTCATACTTTAGATTTGTGTTTGTGAGAGATATTTATATCTCTTTGGAGTTAGTCATTGCGGACTATTGGGTCCTTTAGAAAGAAGGTTCCTCATTGACTCATTTGAAAGGCAATAAGTGGT